GGATTGAGTGCAGTGGCTCATGGCTGTAACCTCAGCACTTCAGGTGACTAAGGCAGGAGGATCACTTGAGGCCAGGAGTTCGAGACTAGCCTGGCCAACATGGTGAAACCCTAGCTCTACTAAAAATATGCAAAATTGGCCAGATATGAATGTATGCATCTGTAGTCCTAGCTACTTGGGAGGCTTAGGCACAAGAATAGCTTGAACCTGGGAGGCAGAGGTTGCAGTGAGCTGAGATTGCACCACTGCACTCCAGCCTGGGTGACAGAGCAGGACCCTCTCTCTCAAAATAAATAAATAAATAAATAAATAAATTTAGAGAAATAAATTATTCTTGCCACATTCTTGCTTTTCACTGTATGTTTTATTTTCTTTTTGAAACAGGATCCTGCTCTGTCGCTCAGGCTGGAGTGCAGGGGCATGATCTTGGCTCACTGCAACCTCTGCCTCCTAGGTTCGAGTGTTCTTGAGCCTCAGCCTCTCAAGTAGCTGGGATTACAGGTGCACACCACCATGCCCAGCTAATTTTTGTATTTTTAGTAGAGGGCTCTTGCTATGTTGGCCAGGCTGGTCTCGAATTCCTGGACTCAAGCAATCTGCCTGACTCCTGCATCCCAAAGAGCTGGGATTACAGGTGTAAGCCACTGTGCCTGACCTAATTTTTCAGCATAACGGTTTTCAAAGTAATTTCCACATTTAGGTGGTTGAAGGATAGAGCCACAAAAAGTGTCTCCAAGGTTCAGTATTGGGAATATGGATAAATAACAAAGTTCAGTCATTCACAGCTTTACAATGTATATGGTCAAAGCAGAAAGCATTGTTCTTTTTTTAAATTATCCCAAGGCCCATGAATATATAAATATTAAACTCTTCAGTTAGAAATAAAACTTAAAAGGCCGGGCGCTGTGGCTCAAGCCTGTAATCCCAGCACTTTGGGAGGCCGAGGCGGGTGGATCACGAGGTCGAGAGTTCGAGACTATCCTGGTCGACAGGGTGAAACCCCGTCTCTACTAAAAATACAAAAAATTAGCTGGGCATGGTGGCACGTGCCTGTAATCCCAGCTACTCAGGAGGCTGAGGCAGGAGAACTGCCTGAACCCAGGAGGCGGAGGTTGCGGTGAGCCGAGATCGCGCCACTGCACTCCAGCCTGGGTAACAAGAGCGAAACTCCGTCTCAAAAAAAAAAAAAAAAAAAAAAAAAAAGAAAGAAATAAAACTTAAAAGCAAAACAATAAAAGCAATTATATACAGCAATTTTTACTGCATTAAGTATTGATCAGTGCTAATATCAATATTACATTGTAGAAGGAACACCAGCTCTATTCCATATCTTGGCTTGTAGCACATTTCTTTTTTCCTTTTTTTTTTTTTTTGAGACAGAGTTTCGCTCTTGTTACCCAGGCTGGAGTGCAATGGCGCGATCTCGGCTCACCGCAACCTCCGCCTCCTGGGTTCAGGCATCTCCTGCCTCAGCCTCCTGAGTAGCTGGGATTACAGGCACGTGCCACCATGCCCAGCTAATTTTTTGTATTTTTAGTAGAGACGGGGTTTCACCATGTTGACCAGGACGGTCTCGATCTCTCGACCTCGTGATCCACCTGCCTCGGCCTCCCAAAGTGCTGGGATTACAGGCTTGAGCCACCGCGCCCGGCCGCACATTTCTTAAGTATCCTTTATCAGCTGACCTTGCAAACTGTCCTCATCAACTCCAAATTAAGTAATAAAAAGTTGAGTGCTTACCTTGTGACCAGTGCTATATTAGATTCAGGGTAACTGTGAGATTTAAAAAATTACCATGTTAATTCTGAAGTCTGCAGAGGAAACAGAATGCTTTAACAGATGCTCTGCTTCAGAGAGAGGCTGCAAGAATCCCTCCTCTCCCCACTCCTGATTTGCAGTCCTAACTTTCCATCAGTGTCAGGACCTCACATTCAAATATTATTATTAATTAATAACAAATTATTAAGAATTTTATATGAGCCATACACTATCCTGGTCTCAGGGGATAAAATGGAGAGCCAAAAAGACATGGTTTCTGTCTTCACTGTGCTTATCGTCTGCTGGAGAAAGCAGGTAGATGAAGAAACTACCAGTAAGTGTGACGCCTGCCAGATAAAACAGTGATTTCCTTAACTTCTAGAATCCCAGTGTTTTTGAAGTGCAGGTTGCAACCCATTGGTATGTCTCCAAAATAAATTTTACCAGTAATTTTTATTTATTTATTTATTTTGAGACAGAGTCTCACTCCCTCACCCAGGCTGGAGTACAGTGCTATGATTTCTGCTTACTGTGACCTCTGCCTCCAGGGTTCAAGCCATTCTTGTGCATCAGCATCCCAAGTAGCTGGAATTAGAGGTGTGTGTCACCATGCCCAGCTAATTTTTGTACTTTTAGTAGAGATGGGGTTTCCCCAAGTTGTCCACACTGGTCTTGAACTCCTTAGGTGATCTGCCTGCCTCAGTCTCCCAGAGTGCTGGCATTATAGGTGTGAACCACTGTGCCCAGCCTCTTTCATTTAAAAAATAAAGGGGCCAGTTGTGGTGGCTCACGCCTGTAATCCCAGCACTCTGGAAGGCCAAGGTGGGCAGATCACTTGAGGTCAGCAGTTCGAGACCAGCCTGACCAACATGGTGAAACCCTTTCTCTACTAAAAATACAAAAGTTAGCCAGGTGTGGTGGCAGGTGCCTGTAATCCCAGCTAATCAGGAGGCTGAGGCAGGAGAATTGCTTGAACTAGGAGCGGAGGTTGCAATGAGCTGAGATTGCACCACTGCACTCTAGCCTATGTGACAGAGTGAGACAGTGTCTTGAAAAAAAAAAAAAGGAAACAGGGTAGTTCAAGTAATAAAATAGACCAGACAAGAATAGGATGGGCTGGAAAATATGAGACTATATTGCACATGAGTATTGTTCTATAAAATGTGTTTATTGGCCAGGTGTGGTGGCTCACACCTATAATCCCAGCACTTTGGGAGGCTGAGGTGGGAGGATCACAAGGTCAGACGTTTGAGACCAGCCTGGTCAACATGGTGAAACCCTGTCTCTACTAAAAATACAAAAAATCAGCAGGGCATGGTGGCATGTGCCTGTAGTCCCAGCTACTGGGGAGGCTGAGGCAGGAGAATCACACCACTGCAGTCTAGCCTGGGCGACAGAGCAAGATTCTGTCTCGGGGGGAAAAAATGTGCATTTACTTATTGGGTTCAAGGTGTAAAAAAAGTATGAGGCTTCCCCTCCCCCACCTCCTCCCATCAAAAAAAAGAAAAAGAAAAAAGAAAACTACTGTATCAATTTTCATCCCTAGTGCGCAATACAATGCTCTACATAGAGAAGACTTTGGATAAATGTTTCATAATGACAATAACCAACAGAAACATGAGAAGAAAACCAGAAAAAAATTCCATGATATGCTTAAAATGAACTTTTCAAAATAAGCACCATCTCACAAAGTGGTATTTTCATGTTTATACAACTATTACCCAGCTAATTTTGACTACTGTGTTTTAGCAATATGCTAATTCCTTGGGATGTAAGAAATAATTAAAACACAGCCTTTCTTTCTCAGAGCTTGCTAGTGTGTGAAGAAACAGCTGGGGAGAATAATCTATCCTCCATGTATGAGAATCAGTACTTGAGAATATTCACCTCATTACAACTAAGAAGCAGTTACATGTGTGTACAGTTGTATTTTATTTTTGTTTTACACTAGTGGTTATCTTTAAATCGTTAAACATTACAAAGCTATTTTATATTTTGGTTTTGGTAGAATATCATGATTAAAACTTGTAATTCAGATTCACTAGGATATTTATAATAATTAAAATATACAATAAATGTTGCTGAGAATGTGGAGAAATCAGAAACCATGCACATTGCTGGTTGGAATGTAAAATGGTAGAGTTGCTTTGGGAAAGCCTGGTGGTTCCTCAAAGAGTTAAGTGTAGAGTTATCATATGACTAGGTACATATCCAAGAGAAATGAAAAATATGCCACACAAAAGCTTTATACAAATGTTCGCTGCAGAATTATTCATAATAGCCAACAAGTATAAAGAAGTAGAAATAACCTACATGTCCATCAACTGTTACCCAGGCTGGAGTGCAATGGCGCAACCTCGGCTCACCGCAACCTCCGCCTCCTGGGTTCAGGCAATTCTCCTGCCTCAGCCTCCTGAGTAGCTGGGATTACAGGCACGCACCACCATGCCCAGCTAATTTTGTGTGTTTTTAGTAGAGATGGGGTTTCACCATGTTGACCAGGATGGTCTCGATCTCTTAACCTCGTGATCCACTCGCCTCGGCCTCCCAAAGTGCTGGGATTACAGGCGTGAGCCACCGCACCTGGCCTTTTTTTTTTTTTTTTTTTTTTTTTTGAGATGGAGTTTTGCTCTTGTTGCCCAGGCTGGGGTGCAATGGCATGTTCTTGGCTCTTGGCTCACTGCAACCTCCATCTCCCAGGTTCAAGCATTCTCCTGCCTCAGCCTCCTGAGTAGCTGGGATTACAGGCATGCATCATCACACCACCTAATTCTGTATTTTTAGTAGAGACAGGGTTTCTCTATGTTGGTCAGGCTCATCTCAAACTCCCAACCTCAGAGACCATCCTGGCTAACACGGTAAAACCCCCATCTCTACTAAAACTACAAAAAATTAGCTGGGTGTGGTGGTGTGCGCCAATCCCAGCTACTCGGGAGGCTGAGGCAGGAGAATCACTTGAATCTGGAAGGCAGAGGTTGCAGTGAGCCGAGATTGCACCACTGCACTCCAGCCTGGGTGACAGAGTGAGACTAGTCTCAAAACAAAACAAAACAAAACATTTTCCCTTAAGGCACTGTTAGGTTTCCTGCAGCTGAAAATATCCTTATGTGGTACAAGCGGTGTGAGCCCAATATTCTGAAAACAGTAAAGCGGAAGAGTATCAATGTTTCTTACTAATGCATTAATAAAATTATCATGGATTACTTCCTGGGTCCTTTTAGCAGATTAAAACTCACAAAAGACCAATTTAAAATGGTAGAATTTATTTTAATATGATGATATATATGTGTGCACATATGCTATTTTAAAAATAAGCATGTAAATTATAATCATTATAAAACATAAGTTAGCCCTAATTTAATATTATCAGAGTAAAAGAGCACATATAGAAGTCAGTCTAACATTGTTGCACTTGCCTTTTAAAGTTAGAACACATAGAAGACTTAGTGCATTGTATTTTATCTGATTTCAGTTTTCATGTTATCATCATTATCTATAAATACCCCTAGGAATGTACCAACTTATAACTTACATTCAAATAACCAGTATCTCTTAACAGTTATTAAAGTACCATTAAATCATCTAAAATGAATAATCTAAAAAAATACTAGTCTAAATTAAAACCCTGAGGAATTAAAATTTTTTTACACAATAGTTTTGGTTAAGTGCAATTTCATGTACGTACTACTTTAAGGTCGTACTTGGTAAGGCATAGTAAAAATAAAATCTACATAAGTAACAATCTAATACTATATTTAATTCGTTGCTACAAAGTTGTTTTATTTCTCTAAAAAGTAGTTTTTGCATATCATTCTGGACCTCTTCACCCATCTGCTGGCTTATTTGCTTTATATACAGTAGTTAAAATTTGTGCACTAACCTGAGCTGCCTTCACAATTGTGGTTCGGACAAAATGCACCCAAAGAACTATATGTTAGAGAGTTCATGTCCATGCTCAACCATGGCTTGCACAAATTGCTTGAAGACACGATCCATGTAAGTGGATTGCCTTGGCCAGATTCCCTCCAGAAAACCAATATGGCCTCCATAAGAAGTAAGGACCAAAGCAACATTAGGGTTTTGCTTAGCAGTTTCTATTGGAATAGCTTCAGACCAAAAAAAGGGTAGCAATAAGAGAGAGAGAGAGAGAAAAATATAATCATTATTTTTTTGTTAGGAAAAGCGTATAACTTTATCATTTCTAATAAACAGAAATCAAAACACCATTATATACTTGTAATGAGCACAGTTAAATGGAATGAGTCTAATTTCTATCAACGATCTATACTCTTACAACAGTTCATATATATGGTCATGTACTACACAATCATTTTGGGAAGAATCAATCCAAGATTTAATCATAACACGAAAGTATATGTCAAGTTTTATTTTGAGAAATTAAAGTAAGAAAATTCAAGGAATGGTGAATCCTCACATTATGCTATAAGATTCTCACTGAGGTGTTATAGCAGGAAAAAAACTAAGCTTAGTACCTTTGTGAGAGTTAGAAATTCACGATTTACGATTTTGATTAACTTTATTTGATGTGTCTGGGCATGGTGGCTCATGCTTGTAATCTTTGGGAGACGAGGTGAGAGGATCACTTGAGCTCCAGAGTTTGAGACCAGCCTGGGCAACATAGTGAGACCCCATCTCGAAAGAAAGAAAAGATTAAAGAGAAGGAAAGGAAAAGAAGAAGGAAGGAAGGAGGGAGGGGAGGGGAGGGGAGGGGAGGGAAGGGAAACAGGGAAGGAAGGAAAGGAAGGAGGAGAAAGAAAGAAAAAGGTAGGAAGAAAGAAAGAAGGAAGGAAGGAAAGAGAGAAAGAAAGAGTGACGGAGGGAGGGAAGGAGAGAAAGAAAGAGGCATAATGGGCACGGTGGCTCACACCTGTAATCCCTGCACTTTGGGATGCCGAGGTGGGCGGATCACGAGGTCAAGAGATTGAGACCATCTTGGCCAACATGGTGAAACCGTGTCTCTACTAAAAATACAAAAATTAGCTGCGCATGGTGGTGCGAACCTGTAGTCCCAGTTACTTGGTAGGCTGAGGCAGGAGAATCACTTGAATCCAGGAGGCAGAGGTTGCAGTGAGCCAAGATCATATCACTGCACTCCAGCCTGGCAAGAGTGAGACTGTGTCCCCCCCGCCCTCCTCCCCAAAAAAAGAAAGAAAGAAAGAGAGAGAGGGAAAGAAAGAACAAACAAATGAACCTTCTATGATATTAGATTACTCAGGCCAATTAGTGGCTATATTAAGGATTCAAAAGTATAAATATAATTTATATAATAACAACAAAAAGGAATGAAATTCTCTCAAATGGTAACAGTAACAGTGTTATCTTTGGGCAATGAAACATGGGTGAATTTTTCTTTTTCTTCCTTCTCTGAATTTCTATTTATGGTTAAGACAAAGAAAAAGTGTTTTATTATCATTTTTTGAGATGGAGTCTTGCTCTGTCACCCAGGCTGGAGTGCAGTGGCATGATCTCGGCTCACTGCAACCTCTGCCTCCCGGGTTAAAGCGATTCTCCTGCCTCAGCCGCCCGAGTAGCTGGGACTACAGGCGCACACCACCATGCCTGGCTAATTTTTTGTATTTTTAGTAGAGATGGCGTTTCACTATGTTAGCCAGGATGGTCTCAATCTCTTGACCTCATGATCTGCCTGCCTCGGCCTCCTAAAGTGCTGGGATTACAGGTGTGAGCCACTGCACCTGGCCAGAAAAGTGTTTTAAAAACATAGTTGCTGGCTAGTTGCTGTGGCTCATCCCTGTAATCAAAGCACTTTGAGAGGCAAAGGTGGGTGGATCACTTGAGGTCAGCAGTTTGAGACCAGCCTGGTCAACATGGTGAAACCCCGTCTATACAAAAAATGCAAAAAAATTAGCTGGGCATGGTGGCTGGCACTTGTAATACCAGTTCCCTGGGAGGCTGAGGCAGGAGAATCACTTGAACCTGGGAGACAGGTTGCAGTGAGCTGAGATCGAACCACTGTACTCCAGGCTGGTGACAGAGCAAGACTCTGTTTCAAAAACAAAAACATAGTTGCTGTATTTAACATAATTCACTAGTAATGACTCTTTTCATATGCTCTACAAATCTATCTTGAGTATAAACTTTATCTTTTTTTTTTTTTGAGACAGTCTTGCTTTGTGGCTCAGGCTGGAGTGCTGTAGGAATCTCAGCTCAATGAAACCTCCATTTCCCGGGTTTAGGTGATTCTCCTGCCTCAGCCTCCCGAGTAGTTGGGATTGCAGGTGCCCGCCACCATGCTCAGCTAATTTTTGTACTTTTAGTAGAGATGAGGTTTCACCATATAGGCCAGGGTGGTCTTGAACTCCTGACCCTAGGTGATCGCCCTGCCTTGGCCTCCCAAGTGCTGGGATTACAGGTGTAAGCCACTGCTCCCAGCCTGAGTATAAACTTTAAAAATTATGACTCCCTAAGTAAGAAAGCATGGTTGAGGCCAGCATGGTGGCTCACGCTTGTAATCTCAGCACTTTGGGAGGATCACTTGGGGCTAGGAGTTTGAGACCAGCCTGGGCAGCATAGCAAGACTGACCATGTCTTTACAAAAAATGTTAAAAACAAAAAAAAGCCTGCTGTGGTGGCATGCTCCTGTAGTCCTAGCTGAGGCTGAGGTGCGAGGACAGCTTGAGCCCAGGAGTTTTAGGCTGCAATAACTATGTTTTTTATTAGATGGAATTTTGCCCAGAGTAGAGTGCAATGGTGCGATCTTGGCCGGCGTACTGCAACCTCCATACCCTGGGTTCAAGCGTTTCTCTTGCGTCAGCCTCCTGAGTAGCTGGAATTACATGTGTGTGCCACCACCCCCGGCTAATTTTGTATTTTTTTTTTAGTAGAGATGGGGTTTCACCATGATGGTCAGGATGGTTTTGAACCCCTGACCTCAGGTGATCCACTCACCTCAGCCTATCAAACTGCTGGGATTATAGGCCTGAGCCACTATATTCGGCCTAGCCTCAGTAAACTATGGTAGTGTCACTGGACTCCAATCTAGGCAACAGAGTGAGACCCTCCCTCTCTCTCTCTCTCTCTCTCTCTCACACACACACACACACACACACACACACACACACACTCATATTTATAGAGAGAGATGCAGTAATTAGAATTTCACAACTTCGGCTGAATTTTAGAGGCAAATGAGCTAATTAAATGAAAGAGCTTCTCTACCCCACCCCCTTGTAAGAAGAAAAAGGAAACTCAAATTCACTATACGAGAACTAGGCCCCTTCCAAAAATTGCCTGTTTAGGCAATGCTCTAAATGACCCTTCACAACACTCTGAAAAATACACTGATACCCCTAAAGCAAGGCTCAACAAGCTAAGTTCTTATTAAAAAGTGGTCCTGAGTTCATGTCCTTAGCTAGCCACGTCCATCCCAAGGAAGAAGAACACCTAGAGGTGAACATCTATCTTGGTATCAGGTGTGGGAACTTCAGGCAGAATGACTGATACTATTTTTGCTTTTCCTTTTTCACCAAGCATTTAGAGTGTTTCATTAGTCTCTAAAGGAATTATTAAGAGCCTAAACTTCACACTCTGGATACATTCAGAAATTTCTAACACTGAGAGTTACAGTCATATCAGAACAAAAGGCTGGGCCACATTTGAGTCATGTGAAAGATGCTGGCTGCCTGTTCTCTCAGACTGCAGACAATTGTCCACTATTTCAATGTGGCAAGACTATTCTAAAGGCATGGGAAAGAATAGGAAATAATGAGTTCAAACTTCACCCAAGTGGGTTAAGTTAAAACGTTGGGAATTTTTTGTTGGTAGAAAGGTCAGTGAAATATAAAAACGGGTGGAGAAATACTAGACTCCAAATCCAATGAAAATATGCTATAACAATCACCATGTAAGTCAACTGATATTAAAGTTCACAGTTTCATTTTCTGAATTGTGGTCAAGGTCGTAAGTTTCACTTTCTAAGATTATCTGTGATTAATCATAAATCACATAATAAAAGAGGATCTCCTAGAGAAATGATAGATAATTTAAAAATATATATATACACACATACACATTGGGGATTTTCTGAAATTTTCACAACATATGTATTATGTTTACAGTCAGAACCATTTTTAAAATAAAATATTTGAAGGAAAGTTGGCTGGGTGCAGTGGCTCATGCCTGTAATCCCAGCACTTTGGGAGACGAAGGCGGGTGGATCACCTGAGATCTGGAGTTTGAGACCAGCCTGGCCAACACGATGAAACCCTGTCTCTACAAAAATACTAAAATTAGCTGGGCATGATGGCAGGTGCTTGTAATCCCAGCTACTTGGGAGGCTGAGGCAGGAGACTTGCTTGAACCTGGGAGGCGGAAGTTGCAGTGACCTGAGATCATGGCATTGTACTCCAGCCTGGACAACAGAGTGAAACTCCGGCTCAAATAAACAAAAAACAAACGTCTCAAAAAAAAAAAAAAAAAAAAAAAAAGAAAAAGAAAAGAAAAGAAAAAAGAAACTAGGAAAGTTCATTTTTGAACAATTTTCTTTTTTTAAGAGACAGGGTCTTACTCTGTTGTTCAGGCTGGAGTGCAGTGCATAGCTCACTGCAGCCTTGAACTTCGGGGCTTCAGTGATTCTCCCACCTTGGCCTCCCAAGTATATGGGACTATAGGCACACACCATCATGCCCAGCTAACTAATTTTCTTACATACAGTATTCAGGGGAAAAGGAAAGACTGTTTCTCATCAAATATGACCGTCTAGTCCAAATATAATTCACTAATTGAGATATTTAAAGTCACTGTATTTATAAAGTCTCAAGTTCTCTTCCAGCTTAAAAGGGAAGAAAAACTTCAAATTTTTCTGTATAGGAACCTCAGGAAGAGGCAAGTGATGACAATATTCTCTTGAGGCAAAAAGACTGTAACATAATCTGTCCAAAGAACAGTGTATTTGATAAGAAGGAAAGGTTGTAAAAATGAGAATGAGCAAAATACTGAGTCATAATTTGTTCTGAGCCTCTCACAATGAACTAGATAAGGTTCTGTGAAAATATTTAAGTGATCTGAGACATTTAGATACTAATTGTTATATCTTTTTTTAAGCATAATGGAAATGATACATTTTCTTACTACATTTTCTTGAAAAGAACAATATATTAAAAGTTAATTCATGTCAAAATATATACAAATATGTTAATTTTACCATGACTGGGTGAGAAAACATCATCCACAGAATTAAGACACAACACTGGAATTCCTACTGACTTCAGTCTATGATTTGGACTGGCATCAGTATAATAATCATCAATTGTTCGGTATCCAAACATGACTGAAGTGAATCGCTTATCAAACTCTCTGATGGATTTAGCCTGAAAAACAAAATCAAATTATATCTAGTCTTGCCCCAAAGAAGAAATAAAAGTATTACATAAAGTTTTTCTTCTACCTTCATGACATGATCCATATCAACTTGTTTTACAAACATATGTCGGTGCCTGGAACAAAAGAATTTCAGAAGTAAAAATCAAGGTCATTCCTACTCCAGCATACTAAAAAGACTCAAAAACAAATTACTAAAAAGCCTAGTACAAGGCGCAGTTGGCACTCAATAAATATTTTCCTTAATCAGATACACGAGGGGTAGTATAATAATGGTTGTGCTGAAGATACTTTTTTCAAGCCCCTCCCCACTTTTTTTTTTGAGACAGGGTCTTGCTTTGTCACCCAGGCTGGAATGTAGTGGTATGATCATGGCTCACTGCAGCTTCAATTTGCTGGGCTTAAGTGATCCTCCCACTTCAGCCCCCAGATTAGCTGGAACTACAGGTGTATGCCACCATGCCCCACCAATTTTATGTGTTTTTTTTTTTTTTTTAAGAGATGAGGTTTCACCATGTTGCCCAGGCTGGTCTCAAATTCCCACGCTCAAGGGATCCACCCTCCTCAGCCTCCCAGAAGGCTAGGATTATAGGCATGAACCACCTTCCCTGGACTGGTAAAATCTAATCCACTGTTTAATGTCAACTTTCAGGATTACTATGATTTTCAATAAGTCATGTGCAAATCAACAATACTTTTAATTTAAAGTTTATATTTACCAATTCACTTAAAAGTACATGTTAACAGTCATTAAAAAATAGAGATTATATGCATTGCATACCTGTGTCAAAACATCTCAAGGTACCCTATAAATATATACACCTACTATGTACCCACAAAAATTAAAATAAAGAAATTAAAGAAATAAGCAAACAGAAACAACTCTGCTGGGTGGGTGGCCCACGTCTGTAGTCCTAGCACTTTGTGAGGCTGAAGTGGATGGATTGCTTGAGTTCAGGAGTTCGAGACAGCCTGGGCAACATGGCAAAACCCTGTCTCTACAAAACATTAAAAAATCAGCCAGGTGTGGTGGTATGTGCCTGTAATCCCAGCTACTTGAGAGGCTGAGGTGGGAGGATTGCTTTAAACTAGGAGGTTGAGGCTGCAGTGAGCCATGATCACACCACTGCACTCCAGCCTGGGCAACAGACAGACCCTATCTTTTTTTTCTTGAGATAAAGTTTTGCTCTTGTTGCCCAAGCTGGAGTGCAATGGCATGATCTTGGCTCACTGCAACCTCCATCTCCTGGGTTCAAGGATTCTCCTGCCTCAGCCTCCCCAGTAGCTGGGATTACAGGCGCACACTACCATGCCTGGTTATTTTTTGTATTTTTAGTAGAAACGAGATTTAGGCTGGGCACAAGGCGGGTGTATCATCTGAGGTCAGGAATTCAAGACCAACCTGGCCAACACAGTGAAACCGCATCTTTAAAAAAAAAAAGGAACAAGGTTTCACCATATTAGCCAGGCTGGTCTCAAATTCCCGACCTCAGGTGATCCACCCCTCTCAGTCTCCCAAAGTGCTGGGATTAACTGTGTGAGCCAGGGCGCCCAGCCACTGGTTTGTTTTTTTGAGACAGAGTCTCACTCTGTTGCCCAGGCTAGAGCAAAATGGCACAATCTTGGCTCACTGCAACCTCTGCCTCCTGGGTTCAAGAGATTCTCCTGCCTCAGCCTCCTGAGTAGCCGGGACTATAGGTGCCTGCCACCACACACAACTAATTTTTGTATTTTTTAGTAGAGATGGGGTTTCACCATGTTGACCAGCCTGGTCTCAAATTCCTGACCTCAGGCGATCTACCCGCTTCAGCCTTCCAAACTGTTGGGATTACAGGCATGAGCCACCATGCCCGGCCCTGGAGACAGCAGATTTTAAAGATGACTCACTTATTAACTGAAGACTGAAGGCAGGTTGTCAAATAGTAATTAAAAAGCAGCCAGTTCAGCGGTTTTTCCAGTGACTCTGAGCAAGCGAAGGTATTCCAACCAACGGAAAAAGTTGCAGCTGCCATCAAAGGAGTTTTGGGCCCAATTTTGCCCAGGTAATTTAGAAGCAGCATTCTAAAATGGGGAGAAACAGGAAACTCAGTGATTAATTTGTTATATCACTCAAGACATTCATTTCTAAATACAGGCTATGTTAACTATGGAGAAGAAAAGTAAAAACTAGTGTTTAAGTCTTCTATCCTGGAAAAGCATGCAAGCATCTTCATTCTTTCCTTATATTCATAGATTATTTGTCTTGTAGTCAACTATGTGGCAAGTGGGACAAATCAGCTATTCCTTATATGTATATCTTATGAAGTAAAACATAAGAGAAATCCACCCTAAGAGTGGTGTACAAATGTGACTGCATGCTGGAATCACTCAGGGAATTTTTTTTTTTTTTGAGACAGAGTCTCGCTCTGTCGCCCAGGCTGGAGTACAGTGGTGTGATCTTGGCTCACTGCAACCTCCACTACGTGGATTCAAGGGATTCTCCTGCCGCAGCCTCCTGAGTAGCTGGGATTACAGGCATGCATCACCACACTCCGCTAATTTTTTGTATTTTTAGTAGAGATGGGGTTTCACTGTGTCGACCAGGCTGATTTTGAACTCTTGACCTCAAACGATCTGCCTGCCTCAGCCTCCTAAAGTGCTAAAATTACAGGCATGAGCTACTGTACCCGGCCTTGTTTTTTTTTTTTGATAGGCTCTGTAGCCCAGGCTGGAGTGTAGTAACACAATCATACCTTAGGGCAGCCTTGATCTCCTGGGCTGAAGTGATCCTCTCACCTTATCCTCCCCAGTATGAGACCACATCTGTCCATCATCATGCCTAGCTAATTAAAAAAGAAGAAAAAAGTTTTTTGGTACAGATGGTCTCACTAGGTTGCCCAGGCTGGTCTCTGGGGAGTTTTAAAAATGACTACTGATGTCTGGGTCTCACCCTGGGAGACTGTGAGTTAACTGATCTGGATTGCTACCCTAGCTGCCAAGGATCCTTGCACCTTGTAGCAAATTTTTTTTTGAGAGGGAGTCTCACTTTGTCACCTAGCCTAGAGTGGTCTCAGCTCTAGAGTGGTCTCAGCTCACTGCAACCTCCAATTCGCAGGTTCAAGTGATTCTCCCACCTCAGCCTCCCAAGTAGCTGGGACTACAAGTATGCCACCACACCTGGCTAATTTTTTTGTATTTTTAATAGAGACGGGGTTTCACCATGTTGACCTGGATGGTCTCGATCTCTTGACCTCGTGATCCACCCGCCTCGGCCTCCCAAAGTGCTGGGATTACAGGCTTGAGCCACTGCGCCCGGCCAATTTTTTTGTATTTTTAGTACAGACAAGGTTTCACTATGTTGGCCAGGCTGGTTTCAAACTCCTGACCTTGTGATCTGCCCGCCACAGCCTCCCAAACTGCCAGGATTACAGGTGTGAACCACTGCGCCCAGCCCCTGTAGCAAGTTTCTAAAGGTCTCTCTAGTTTAGACTTTCTAAGATGTGGTAGAACAGTTGACCCATAAAGTAACTTGTTTTCTCTTCCCATTCCTGTTATTTGTCCTTATTTCCTATCACATCTTTTCCTCTTTTAGTTCTGTTTTGGTAAGAGGGCCCATAATCATGTCTAATCTACATACACAATGTTGAACATCTAAAGTTTAATGCTGCCAAGTAACAGAAAGAATGATATCCTAATTATTTCTCATTATATTTTTTGTACTTGATTTCTTCAACTGTCCAGGTTTTAAAATAGGAGGAATGGGTTAAAATTCTCCCTCATTCTTTTTTCCAATCCAAATGACTTGCAGGGGTGAAAATGATGATGTTTTAGATGCAAAATGGTACTATCTGTATACAGTATTGTGGTTCACCAAACCATTTAGTAAGACGATGCTTACTCTTTTCCAAAGGGTTCATTTGAGTGTCCTAGTTTTGGTGGCCCTACTCTTTGATGAGAGGTCAGATATTATTGGGGGGCTGGTAAAATGCACAAATGGGAAGGACTTGAAGGGAAACTCAGAAGTAGGAAGATTCAGAAGTAGTTAAGACCAAGCAGGTGGGGATACATCCTGGTTATTACTCAGGAACAAAATGATGCCAAGATGTTCTCCCCGAAAAAGACTGTTTTACTTCTATAGGAAAAGGACCCTATTTTCTCGCCAAAAGAAAAAAAAAAAACTACAAGCTAAGAGAGGGTGGCAGGGTGGGGGGGGTGGCGCGTATAGACTTTCTGGCTCAGAAAGAGAGAGAGAGAGAGAGAGAGAGGAAGAGAGAGAGAGAGAGAGAGAGAGAGAGAGAGAGAGAGACAGAGATAGACAGAGATAGAGACAGAGAGAGACACTGAGACTAGACTACTTTTTCTGGCTCCTAACTAAACTAAAACCAAACAAGCAAACAGACTATTTTGGAAATGTGAACACTTACTGAATACTGGATGATAGTTTGAAATTAGTGTTAATTTTGTTCAGGTGTAATGATAATGTGGTATGGTTTTGGTTCTTGTTTGTTTTTTTAAATAAACTCTACCTTTTTTTTTTTTTGAGACAGTTTCACTTGTTGCCCAGGCTGGAGTGCAAAGGCGCCATCTTGGCTCATTGCAACCTCCGCCTCCTGGGTTCAAGTGATTCTCCTGCCTCCGCCTCTCGAGTAACTAGGATTACAGGCATGGGCCACCATTCCTGGCTAATTTTGTATTTTTAGTGGAGAGAGGGTTTCTCCATGTTCGTCAGGTTGGTCTTGAACTCCCGGCCTCAGGTGATCCTCCCACCTCAGCCTCCCAAAGTGCTGGGATTACAGGTATGAGTCACTGTGCCTGGCCTTTGTTTTTTCTTTCTCTTTTTTTTCTGAGATGAAGTCTTGTTCTGTTGCCCAGGCTGGAGTGGTGTCATGATCTTGGCTCTCTGCAGCCTCGTGGGTTCAAGCGATTCTCTTCCCTCAGCCTCCTGAGTACCTGGCTACAGGCGCGCACTGCCACGCCCAGCTAATTTTCATATTTTTAGAGAGATGGGGTTTCACCATATTGGTCAGGCTAGTCTTGAACTCCAGACCTTGTGACCACCCGCCTCAGCCTCCCAAACTGCTGGGATTACAGGTGTGAGCCATTGCACCTGGCCTTTTTTTTTTTCTTCTTTTTAAGATGGAGTCTTGCTCTGTTGCCCAGGCTGGAGTGCAGTAGGGCGATCTCAGCTCATGGCAAACTCCACCTCCCTGTTCAAGCAATTCTCCTGCCTCAGCCTACTGAGTAGCTGGGATCACAGGCATGTGCCACCACGTCTGGCTAATTTTTGTATTTTTAATAGAGACAGGTTTTCACTGTGTTGGCCAGGCTGGTCTTGAACTCCTGACCTCAGGTGGTCTGCCTTCTTCAGCCTCTCAAAAGTGCTGGGGTTACAGGTGTGAGCCACCATGCTTGGCCCACCTTTTAGGGATATCAACTATTTATAAGTGATGTCTGAGATTTGGTTCACAATAATCAGAGTTGGGAGGGAAAGGGGGATGGCGCTGATGAAACAAGACGACCCATGAGTTGCTGGCACTTGGCCCCAGGGGCATCACAGCCTTTATCACAGGGATTACCTCAGTCCACAGGGCACTGGGCATAGGGATCATTCATGGACTATGATTTTCTGTGTTGCATCTCCATAGGAAAAAACGTGTCAAGATATAAAACACATCCCCAAGTGGTGAGCCCACTTGGGAATGTGTCACAGTGCTAGGCAACTAGAAGGGGTGCTTCTGTCAAACAATTCAGAAGACATTAATATTCAACCAGCTGTAAAAGCTAATGGTCAAGTTCTGCCTTCAGGGACTGAGGCTTCAATGTGGCATGAATAGACATTTCCCAGGAGCTTCTGAATAGAGAATCTGGACCTGTTTATGTAAGTTCTGGCCTTTAAAAAAGTCAAGCATTTATATGATTAAGAGGAAAAGTTCAGCTCTCACCCTGTCCTTTAAGGTTCACATTACAGGGGAAAGGAAAGAGAAGCTAAACTCTGTCCATTAAGCACAGTTCAGAGATTCTGCCTGGGTTTTCTCCATTGAGTGAGATTTCTTCCTTTAGTAGGTCAAGTCAGACCTTCCATGCTAATGTAAGAAATGTATTCTTTTCTTCTTCGTTTTATGTTTATCGGAATCTAAAAAGCTGTGGTTAAAGGCCTGTTTTTTAGAGTCTATCATTTGTAAATGCTGTTCATTTTCTTTTTATAAAAAATTAAATTTTTTTCTTCTTTTATTCATAGCCACTGGCTATAGAAAAATGCTGTTCATTTTCAAGTGAATAAATCCGTAAGATGTTCTAAAAACTGAAATGACAGATAAACCAATTATAAAATTATGAACAAATATCATTTTCTGTCTTAAGTATTTGCTGATTTAAAAAACTAGTTTTGGACAATGGCTTAGGGATCTAAAAGCATAGTAAAATTCAAAATAATAAAAATTTTGGATTTCCTTAAGCTATCACTAGAACCACCACAAAAAAACCCCACAAGCAATTAGTAGAAATAAGCCTAAATAGAAAAGTTCCAAATAAGCCCAAAAGTAATGGCAAGCAACACAAATGATAATATCCATATGCTTAAAATAGCAGCTGAAGTAGGGGGTTAACAAAATTTCAGTTTCTGGGAGAGCACTCCACAGTAGGTCCATTTGCCCAGCAACAAAACAAAACAAAACAAAATACCACCTGGGGAAAAAATCATTTTGAAGGCCACTGCAGCTGGAGAGAGCAATAAGTGATTATTTCTGTAACTGGAGTGATGAAAGTCATGCTACAAGTTCAGCTTCAGAACGCAGCTCCAGGGGTGACTCGGAGTGCGCCAGGAATCAGAAGGTCAACATGGCAGCCAGTGAGTGAAACAATTGACTTTATGGGCTTTGGACAGACTTCAGGCTCCCAAAATCCGTAGTCAAAGAGACATGTAGTTAAGAAAAATATTAAAATTCACTGAATTAATTCTTTCCTTCCTTTGTTCATTCAATCAACCGCATTTAATAAAATATGATAAACATAATCAGACATTTATTTTAAAAATGTCTACATAGCTGGTGTATAGCCCTCCGAAAGAGACAGCCCATAAAACAGCTTCCCTCTCAGAGATAATTATTTTAGAAAGGGAAAACCTTACCCTCCCATTGAAACCCCTGCTGCCAGGAAAGGAGCAGAAGGGCACAGGCTGTGTACATGGTGAATAACTGTCTCCAAGTCTTCAGTGTTAGCACAACAGTAAGTCCTTGGTGTCTGGAAGTAGTGACAAGTAAAGCACAACAATTACAATGTGAGGTTAATGATTTGTAAAATGCAGAAATGTATTTTACATTTAGGAGCAAGAAGTCATAAATATGAGAAAATAACCTTTGTTGGCACATACTGTAGTATTAATAATTTATCACTTTCCTGTCTTGCAGTGCACACATATGCCATTTGAAGTCAGCACAGTTAGACTGGCACTAGCAAAAAAAGGAACATTCAAGGAAGGCTTGATGCAGATGGGGCAAGACCAATACAAATACCTTAACTTAAAGTGCTGTACTCAAATGTGTCTCCAACCGAAACAGAACAATTTAGGGAAAAAAGCAGAGAATTGTGCTTTCTATCAAATAAAAAACAACCCAAACCCTCAAAGCCAAAATAACTTTTCTTTCTCCTCTTTTCCTGGTAAGACAGGGTCCTGCGCTGTCACTCAGTCTAGACTGCAGGGGCATGACCACAGCCCACTGCAGCCTTGACCTCCCAGGCTCAAGCAATCCTCTAACCTCAAACTCCTAAGTAGCTGAAACCACAGGTACAGGCCACCAAACACAGAATTTAAAAGAAAATGTTTTGTAGAGATTGGCGGGGGGGGGGAGGGGGGTCTTGCTATATTGTCCAGGCTGATTTTGAACTCCTGGGTTCCAGCCATTCACCTGCTTTGGCCTCCCAAAGTGTTGGGATTACAGGCATGAGCCTGTGCCTGGCCCAACGTAACTTTAAAAATAATTTATTTTTTCGAGATGGAGTTTTGCTGTCACCCAGGCTGAAGTGCAGTGCAGTGGCATGATCTTGCCTCACTGCAAGCTCTGCCTCCTGGGTTCAAGCAATTCTCTTGTCTCAGCCTCCTGAGTAGCTGGGATTATAGGTGCCTGCCAGCACACCCAGCTAATTTTTATATTTTTAGTAGAGACAGGGTTTCACTATGTTTGTCAGGCTGGTCTCAAACTCCTGACCTCAGGTGATTCACCCACTTCTGCCTTCCAAAGTGCTGGATTACAGGTGTGAGCCACTGCACCCAACCCCAAAAGTTTTGTCTTAGGCTTCTATCTGCTTATTCTCTGGTCAATACCCAGCTCTTGAAGTTCTTATCTACTCCTATATCTTCATCTACCACCTCTCCCCAGTGACTGAAGCTAAACCTCCACTGTCGCTTTCATCCTCAGCACCAGATCCAAATTTCCAAGTTCCAGCAGACAGCTGCCCTGTAATTGTTCTATCAGTACTTCAGATTCAAAATGCACAAAAATTAACCCATTTTCCTCTTCATGAAAACTCCCAATGCTTTTCCTAACTTCCCATTTTCCTACAAATGGCACTTATATTTTCCTAGTTAAAACTGTGGGCGACATAGTTTTCTCCCTCTCCCTTAACCACATAGCTGATAAACTGCCCAATCCTGTAGTTTCTTCCTTCTCAGTGAAAGGAAACTCTTCTCCACTCTAGTACAGGGCTGGTAAGCTGCATTCTCTTAAAAGGGCCCCTGAAGCAAGGATGTGAGTGCTAGCAGTGCATTTGGAAGGTAACACCAGGAAGCACCCACAGGAGAGTGGCAGAGTGAGTCAGGAAAGGCAGGAAGTCAATAAGGAAAATGATACTACAGGCAGTTTATGGCTGTGGGCAACTGGGACTCAAGCTCCTTGGGTTAGTCTGGGACACTGTGTTCAGCAAGGCTTATGGTGATCCCCAGTGAAAGGCAAAAGAGCTATTTATCCACCAATTCCCTTTTGGCCACTGGTTGAAGGTTTTCCTGGAGGATGTTAACTCCCTGGTACTTCTGGTCTACCCTAAGTGCAGTTCGGCAGGCACCAATGGCTACAGAAGGCCCCCAGTCACAGAGATACAGGAAGCCCTCAAAAAGGCATGCATGGGAATGCTAAGTGCCAAGCGGGGTAAAGATGTAGCACCAGCTGTCTTTGCTACAAGGCCTTGTCATCTCTCACCTGGACTGTCACAAAACCTCTTAACTGGTTAACTCCTGAGTTTTCCTGATAATCATTCATAATCCTACATTCAGTGCACTATCAGATTAATCTTCCTAGAGAACACTTCCAGCTCTAATCATGACAGTCTTTGCGCTTAAAATTTCTCATTAGATTTCCATTGCCTACTGAATTTAGGACCTTCTACCATATGATGGCGTGCCACCCTTCCAGTTCTGTGTTTTATTATTTCTCCAAATGTACAAACGTAGACCAATGGGATATTGTTCTCTTGCCTGCTAGGCCCCTTAATATCTTTGCCGCCTGTGTGACCTTCACCTGCCTGGTGTCCTTCACTGTCAACTTTGCCTGTTGAAATTGTGCACGGAATGTCACAAGGCTGGGCACGGTGGCTCATACCTGTAATCCCAGCACTTTGGGAGGCTAAGGTGGGCAGATAACTTGAGGTCAGGAGTTTGAGACCAGCCTGGCCAAATAACGAAACTCCCTATCTACCAAAAAATACAAAAGCTAGCCAGGCATGGTGGCATGTGCCTGTAATCCTAACTACTTGGGAGGCTGAGGTGGGAGATTGCTTCAACCCGGGAAGTGGAGGTTGCAGTGAGCCAAGACTGTGCCACTGCACTCCAGCCTGGGTGACAAAGTGAGACCTTGTCTCAAAAAAATAAATGTCGCAACAGGTGAGACTTGGCCCCTGTCCTTTAGGATCTCACAGCTATTCTCTATTCTGCTAATTGCCCTGTCCAGCCTGCTCCATGCCCTTTCCCATGGGAGTCTCTATCACTGTCTTTTGTCAAACTGAACTGACACACAGGACTAAAAGGAAGTAGCTCTGATTAATAAGTTCTGATATGCAAACCTATGCAGTTCTATCATACAGCGTCTTGCTACCTGATGGGTTACAACAGGAAACATCATCTGCCTTCTTTCTTCACAGGAGGTAAAGTTTGAAGTAAGCAGAGCCTACAGAACTCTGGACCCATTAAAGATTCACCCAGAATACACAGCAAAGACATTTATGGGGCAGTACATTGAATTGGTAGACTTTGCAAAAACTGTCTTCAGGCCTAAAGATACAACTAGAAACTTTTTAGACAAAAGACTGGTTAAATTCTGTTACTAGGGCTATGAACGCAACAGACAGCTATTCTGGTAGATGAAATCACATGTAATCAGAAGAGGGATGAAGGAAGACCTGGAAGGATTCCACTGGGTAGTGAAACTCATTCTGGGTGGGATGAGGATGGGAAAAATATAAAAAATCCAAAAAATATATCACTTCCAGCAGATATTTGGACATATTCAATAAGTTAGAATAATTTGATAATAATTACAGACCAACGTTGTTTAAATTATCCAACTGCAACTATGTTCAGAGAGCGACAGTAATTTATTTATTATCATTATTATTTTTTATAGAAAAGAGGTCTAACTATGTTGCTCAGGCTGGTCTCAAACTCCTGGGCTCAAGCAATCCTCCCACCTCGGCATCCCAAAGTGTTGGGATTACAGACACGAGCCACCATGCCTGGCCAACAACAGTAATTTAATGGCTGAAAGAGGTTAGTTCTAAAAAATGCATTGAAGAGAATGAAATATAACTACTATTATTTATATATAATAGGAAAATAATAAAGCATATATTTAATATTTATCTATGGACTACATCTAATTTATCCTTCTTAATCAACTAAGGGCTTTCTTTTTATTTTTTTTTGAGATGGAGTTTTGCTCTTGTTGCCCAGGCTGGAGTGCAATAGTGCAATCTCGGCTCAGCACAACCTCCACCTCCTGGGTTCAAGCGATTCTCCTGCCTCAGACTCCCAAGTAGCTGGGATTATAGGCATGCACCGCCACACCCAGCTAATTTTGTACTTTTAGTAGAGACAGGGATTCTCAATGTTGATCAGGCTGGATTTTAACTCCTGAGCTCAGGTGATCCACTGGCCTCAGCCTCCCAAAGTGCTGGGATTACAGGTGTGAGCCACAGCACCCAGCCGACTATGGGCTTCTTAAAAGTGGACAAACTGATTTCTCCTAACCTGAAAAACAATTTTCTTGTACCAGGTTTCGAAAATCTGTTTTAGAATTAATTTACAATTCTCTTCATTAAAAAAACAATTTTTGACCTAGACTCATTTTAAATTCCCTCTGTTAATCAGGTAGCTGGACTCTTCCTAGCTATTCTTGGCAAAGATTAATTTGCTAATCTGCAGTAGAAGCCATAACTCAGAATCCTTCTCTCTCAAGTCTGGGGTTACCGCACTTCCAATGCTGAACTAAGCTATCTAGAATTTTAGTGTTCTGTCCAGCAAAATGAAAACTGAAAAGGCCCAAGGAATGCCTTGTAAAAAATCATTTAAGTTTCATATTTACTTGATTGTAATGTTTGATGATCATCAGGATTTTAGAATATTTCATTTAGTATTCTTCTCTCAAGTACTTAATGATCTGTACTCAAATATTTGATTAGATGCATTTAAATGAACTCTGTGATTCCTGTGTGGATGTGGGTCTCCCCAGAAGGAATAATCCTTTTAAAATAAGACTAAATATGCTCTTTAATTGATCTCTGTGGTGAGACATGTTTTTCATTCTACCCATTCCCTGTCTAGTACCTACTAAGTTGCCTAAATTCTCCCTAGGAAAATTGATTTTATTTTTGGAATATGAGTTAATAAGAGTCAGAGAGAAGAAAAACTATTTGCACATAAATAAAACCAGCAGTTTAATGAAAAATCATTTCACCCAGTCACTGATAGACATATTAAATGACCAATTGTCTAAATTTGCCTGGGAATTTGCTAATTCTTAAAAATAACTAACCACAAAACAAAGGGCCCCAGGAAATATCCTGGCCAGCTGTGAGGCTGGCCTCTGTGCCATGTTCCTGCCAACACTCCAGATGGCTGCCGTACATGCTTGTGCCATCACGTTATGCAAGCCACACCAATCAATTAGCAGTTTTGTTAGTGGTTTACAGCAGGTCAGCCAGGAGTTATTTTCAGACCAGGCTCCTAAGAGGCAAATCTCGTGACTCACCTGGGT